AGGCCGCCGCAACCGGACAAGGACTACCTACGTACCTACCTACCTACCTACCTACCTACCTACATACATACATACATACATACATACACACACACACACACACCTACACACATATATACAAATAATTAAACACTAACTGAAGCGGAGGCACCGCATGGCACTTACACAAGGGCGGTCTCCTTATGACAGCAAATTCAAGTACCTGTCGAAGCTCCCGCGAGCTCCTTACCAATTTAATCGGACAGAAATCGTAAAAACCAGGTGACCAAGCATGCATGCAAACTCACACAAATGACTTGCTCCGCTATGCGGCTATGCGAGTGGTCGTGCTACACGTGGGTGGGCGTGAACGACCCATCACTAGCTGAAGCGGGGGCACCGAACGGCACTTACACAAGGGCACGCAGAAAGGCGGATTCTTTTTGGCAGCAAATTCATGAAGTACCTGTCGGAGCTCCCGCGAGCTCCTCGCCAATGCCAAGAGTCTGGCGCCCTTCACACAAAACACCAAATGAGAGGCCGCCTTACAGCACTGCCCCTGTCGCAAGCGTCTGACCACCAGCCCTGCCAAGCAACGTGCGGTCCAGGCACATGATGCTTTGTCGGAAACATCATTGAAACACGTTAACAGTGCACATCGCACACGACAAGCTGACAATCGCCAGCAACCGCCACACGTGAGGCACACACGTGCAAATGCCCAACTGCCACCGAAGCTCAGGTAAGATTACACACGGCGCTTCGGCCTATGCACGAAGTCGTCCAGCAACCCTCGCCATGGCACATCATGGCAGTGGTCCCGTCGAAACCTTCTCAGAACTGCGGCAGCACTCCACGGCCGCGAGATAGGGCAGCTGCCGATGAATTTTCTTCTCTAGGTACATCCGAATTTTGGAACGAGACACTCTGTTCCAGGCACAGCTTGGCGGTGGCTTGCATTGCAATGCATAATGTGCGTCCTGGATCAACCCTTTTGCAGCTGCGTGGCGTAGTAGCGCAAACCACACCTCGATTGTCGCACTGCTGCAAGAGAATCATACGGCCCATACACGCAGGACGTGACTCTGGATCTACCTCACGGACTAACCAAAGGCACAGCACGAACTGCGCCAAAGCTTCCAGTGCGCAGATTACAAGTGCCAAATCCTCGGCCTGAAACCACTCGGGCAAGTCATCGTGGCAAATCTGGCAAAAGAAACCAACTGATGTTTTCCGGACAGAGCTGCAACCCCGGCCGGATCCACCAGCCCCCAAAGCCAGCCCGGTCGCCCGCTGTAAGTGCATCAGCTGCAGCCACCGTTTTGGGGCCCCCTTTTTGCACCAACCGGATCAACCTGATCACCACATCCAACTGGATCAGCTCGAGGCAAAAGGTCGCAGCCTCTGCAACTTCACGCGAAACCCGCACCTTTGCCGAGGTTGGGTCCCCAAACTTGGCCCACACAGAATGTGGTCCAGAACACCGCAGCGCGGTCCTGCAAGCAACGGGAACGTTGGCAACTTCCAGCGCACGGCAGCCGACCGAGACAGGACAGCGCTCTGCCTCCTGCACGACACGTAACTAGCCTGCCGTCCACTCACCCACGAAGATCGGTCCGTTGACTGCTCAGAATCCAAAGTCCTCACCAGGATGGCAGGCTTATGGGGGACTTGAAACAACGCCTGCAGCCCATGGTCGCAAGGAAGGTACCAGGTAGAGTTGGAGTGAACGAGCAGAGCAAACCCAAACACTTGTCGAGCTGTTTGCGCTTGACAACGGCCAGTGGCACACGAAGTGGCGCTAGCATCTCCACCAAACGTGGCAAAGCTTCCGCCAACTCAGCGGCAGCCGAAGCATTACGGTCAGACATATGACATATCAATAAGGACGCACAAACAGAAGCCGTAAAGCGCGGGAACAAGGCAAAGGTGTCGTCCACATACACTGCCAAAACAGGACGCACATGTAAGAGCTTGTGGCCTGTCCTTACGAAAGTTCCTGCGGCACGGGACCACCAGTAGGCGGACCCGGCTCCTCCAAGATGTCAGGTCCTATACATGATCCAATGAGTGTCGCCTCTGCCACCAATCCAGCAAAGGAGATTTGCGCCAGACACTGTGCTGTCACCCGCCAAACGCGTGGCCGAGCGTCCTTTTTGACAGGGCCGAGCCGTCTCAGGCCGCACAAGCTGCAAGGCTCCGCCAGACCCCGGCAGTCACTCAGCGAAACCAAGAGCGACATCCTCCTGCACCAGTTGAGCACGGTATCCGGGGCTTGTCGCTCGGAGCTCCACGGCTCCTGCCAAGTCAGCAGATCTACAGGAGGTGTTTCCGGTACTTCCACTGGACGCGCCAAACTCCCGAGGCTGGTACAATATCTCAAACGCCTGTCACTGTAGGAACGCCGTGCTCTAGCTGAACTGGTAACTCCGGTTCCACCGCAAAAGACAAGACGAACATGCCACGCAGTAGGTGACGCGCAAACGGCTGACTTGAAGGCACGGCTGAGGAGCACTGAGATTTGTGCTATTCAGAAAACGGCACAGCATCCTCGCAAAGATTCGCCACTTCTGTGTCACAAAGTCAAAGAAAATCACTGCGCATCGCTGCATGCCTGACAAACCGCCGAACCACGTCTCAATCGTGCACACGTCTCAACCACTGCTGACGCAGGCCACCATGCAAACATATCCTCCGCAAATTCAGGGCGACGGACCGCGTCGGAGATAATGACTGCACCATCCCGAATGGCTGGCCGCCCGGACTGCGCACGTGCAGCTCGCCCGACCGAGTCCGAGTCCTCCGCAGGGCCCACAGCCTCCGCCATATGTCCGAAGTAGCACTCACGGGTGCTCAGAACGCTTTCCCCTTCTGGCTCCTGCACTGGCATAAGAGTCATGGGAGGGGCTGCCACACTTGGGGCGCACTGGTGCTTGCGCCGCCCGTCAATGCCGTCTCACAGGCACCAGACTGACATGCCTCAGTGAGCAGCGCCGGCCAAAATGGCAAACACTCGTTTGCACGATGAACCGTGACACACGTCAAGCTGGAACACGCAGAGCTTGATTATTTCTTGCCTGCACCTCACAACAACAACCCCACACACCTTGGACCCATCACCGAGAAGATTGTGGGAAAGAACCACTGTGGCCACACCTCTGACACCCCTGCAGACATGGATCCGAATGGACCAAGCTATTCTGCGCGGACGGCACAGGCGGCAGGCCCCAGCACCGATCCTTCCAGTGCAAGATCCAGGCGGGGACTTCCACAGCCTTATGCAGCCTTATGGAAGACCCCTGAACAGACATTTCGCACCCAAGGAACATCCTCATCGAGCAACCGGTGCCCATCCTCTGCGGCATCGAGCTCGACCTAGTCAGAAGCTCATCATCCGACTGGCGCAGCGCCGAATCTGGCGAAACACCGTCCACAGACTGCAGAGGAATGATCCCGAGTGGGTCGCATCGGGATCCGAAGGTCCGGGAACTAGCTTGGAGACCACGGACACAAACTCCTGGAGACCAGAAACCCCACACTGTAACGCTGTCACAGGCAGCCAGCCGTGCCAGATGGCGCTTAACAGCCGCTTCTTAACTGCGGTAGGACGTCGTCACATGTCGTCACGGCCGTACTTCTGCGCCGACTTGTGGGAGGGTTTCTGATGACCCTGCGCGATCCTTCACGTCGGGTTGCAAGGCCCAGGAAAATGTCGTGGCTTTGCAGGAATGCAGCGACAAACGGCAGGCCTGTTCAGCAGGGAGTGAGCAGTACTGCATCAGACGACGCCGAAACTGCGCCAGCATTCCGGTGCTTCCATTGGCCAGCCGCCGCTGGCCACTAGGAAGTCCCGATCAAGCTGATCGGACTGCAGGGAAAGAACTTGTCCAAATGGGACACCCCAGCCAACACGAGTTGCTCGGCACATTAATATCCCAAAGGAAATTAAAACTACACGCCGACGTCTTGCTGCGCCACATCCATGTCTCAAGCGCTTATCCTGAACCAAGGAGGGAATTTTTAGCTGTCGAACGTCTGACCAACAGAGTCCTCCCCACACCATCATCAAAATACAACCAATGATCATGACATCACCTTCCGCACAAGTGGATATGACCACTTGGCCGACCACTTCTAGCTGTGCAACCACAGGTAGGGGCAGTGGCAAGTCACGTGCAAGTCGCTTCTCCCACTTTTCAGCAGCCGCAGGCGTCCCAAGCCAACTTTAAGCCAGAAACTTCAAAGACCCGATTTTCTCCTGGGCACAAGGGGGGAGGGGCAGTGCAGAAATGGGGCACAGGAGCATTTACCATGGTCGTTGTCATAGTAGACCAACCGAGCAGCACAAACAATGAACGAGCAACAAGCAACGGGGAATTCAAAAAAGCCAGGCGCAGAAGTCAAGCGTGGTGACACGAACACATGACATGTGAATAGGCTGCTAGGCTTCACCAAGCATACAGATGACGTGCTCCGCTATGCTAGTGATCGCGCTACACGCAGGTGGGCGTGTGTGGCCCTAGTTGTATGTCTATAGACTATATATATTTATATGTATGTATGTATGTATGTATGTATGTATGTAGGCAGGCAGGCAGGCAGGCAGGCAGGCAGGCAGGCAGGCACGTAGGTAGGTAGGTAGGTATGTACGCATGTATGCATGTATGTATGTATGTATGTATGTATGTATGCATGCAGGCGGGCATGTGTACATGCACGCGCCCTGGCTAACTGCGGGGGGATTCTTCTCACATGCAGTCTCCGTGCAAGACAGCGGCGTTGTCCGTGTGAAGGATGGCTGCTATGCAAACCTTGCGAGCGGTCTTCCGCGCATCCTTGTCCAGCCGCTTGAAGACGTCCGTGTCCTGACCGTCTCGTCTTGTCAGCCAGCTCTCAGCGTCTGCCACAGCCATCCACGGACCAGACAAAACGACCGACACCGGGCCTCGTTGCTTGCAATTTCGAAGAGCTTGGCAGCATGCATGTTCCTTAGGCGGTCAAAATACTGCCACCGCACTCGTTTTCTCTCGGAACCATCTATGCCCAGCTTCTCAAGGGGCGACTTATCGTTGTATACTCGTGCGAGCTGATGCTGCGTCTCCACCTCCCACACTTCATTGCTTGCAAGAGGATGTTCCGAAAACTCAACTGTACGTCAACTGAGCCGTGAGCAAGGAACGGATTTGTCTTTCCCTGGTGACCCACATCGTGGCAAAGCGCGGCAAGAAGCAGCGCGTACTGGCGGGCAAGTAAAACTTTTCTTTTCATGATCATGCAGCCAAGGCGAAATCGTTGCAACTTCACGTAGAGCATGGTTTGACCCGTCTGGCCTTCTCAACGTTTGACAACCAAGCATCTGTGCGGTTGATATCCATGAGCCTGCACAGTGGGCAGTGTAACCTGTGGTTGGTTTTTGTCATTTGTACGCACATCAGCATTGCTTGCATTCATGAAGTGCCGACCTGTGCACAGTATACGTCACGTCGACGGCATGGAAGTAGTTGTGGTAGGGCAGGCTGTTGTAGTTTGAATAAACGACCTCAGCTGCTGAGAGAGCACCCACCGAAGTTAAAGAAATCGCCAGGTGCAAAACTTGCGAAGCTCACGTCAGGCCAAGAGACCGAGTGAAATTTGTGGAACGTCTCCGGCTGAGCAAGTATGCGGCCAGTCGATCTTCCAATGAAAGAGTCAAAAAACATGTGCACAACCTGGCAGCGGCGGCATCTTTGCTGTGGTCCCCGGCCCTCCCGGCTGCCAGAGCTCTGCAGCGAGCTCTGCAGCGCTCTCTGCCAAGCAACCACTTGCTGGTTTTGCTCCACGGGCAGCTCAAGCACGTCCAACTCAAAGGTGGAGAAGACGGACCTCACCGCGGCTGCCACATTGCCGAACGATGCCAAAAGGAGCTTGTTCAGAAAGTGTTTTAAGCTGCTGCGATATGAGATGGAGAGTCTGTCCTTTAAGCTTGGAACTCGTTGACCGGTAGGTTGGCAAAACACGGCTCCGATGCGTTGGCCACAGCAGCCAACGATGACAGGTCTCTGTTGACCTCGCCAATGCACCATGAGCGCCAATATCTCTATCCTCCCTGCCCGACCTATCCTGCACTGCTTCGAGTGGCCTGTAAGTGCATTACGTCGAGGAGGACGGCCCTCGCATCATTGTCCATGCCTACAGTGGTCAGCGGATGTCAGCGCTTGGGTACTGCCTCTCGCAAAGGGCTATCCGTTAGCTGAAAGAGCTTTCCCCTGGTTTGCCTGCCATTTCCTCCTCGGTGAGCTCGTTCCGCACTGCAGCCAGATTGGCGAGCCGCGCGAACTTTTTGAATATCTCCTGCGGCATCCAATCGAGAGCACACTCAATCGATGATCTCCAAGGGGCTCAGCATGGGGCCACCACGGATTTGCCTCTCCTAGATCTTGATAAGGACGACATCTGGTCTCGTGCACTATCCCCTTTCCCCAACGCACACGACTTGTCACTGTGTATTCACTGTGTTCTCCCAGTCTTCTATCTGGCTCGAGTCTAGTTGCCATCGCAAGAATGCCCAAGTTCCTCGATCAGGGCAGTCTCTGCAATCGGTTCTGCTTCTTCCTCAGGACTGTCGTCCAAACCTCAGACAATTTAGTCAGATGTCGTCTCATTACAAATAATAAGGCACAATGAAAGCTTTTGCAAAACCAACTGTGTGTCTGACCGAACTGCTTTAAGAGATCTGCGGCCATGCTCTTTACCATGTACCTGAGCTGCCAGTCGCTCTCTAAAAGCGAAGCGATAATGCGATAACTAACGTGTTTCCAAGAAACACGCCTGCACCTGGAAAATGCTACCTGTGTATCTCGGCCAGGCGGCAGCATACGGTCCATCGGTTGCACAAGCAATCGATCGAGAGTGTGGCTGAGAATCAAGGAGACGATCTCGGTGCGGCAGCCGGTCAAACCCAATCTTAATCTGGGCCCGATCACACGCAACTGTGCCATCTGCACGGTACGCACATGGAATGGGGTCTCCACTGTTCCGCAGGTAGGGGGCTGACGAAGAAGCACGCAACACAAGACACCAAAAGCGGCTGAGACTGGGTGTCTGGGAAAGGGGCGGAAACGGCAGAAGCAACAGCAGCAGCAGCAGCAGCAACGGCAAGAACTACAACCACAACCACCACGGCCACAGCCGCAACCGCAACCATACCACTTCATCCCTTCGTTCATGCATGGATGCCGAAGTCTCACGGCAACCATGGGATCCCCATGGTATGGCTCCTGGAACGGCTCAAGATCTGCTGCCTTCACCTCTCGAACTCGAGCCGCACCCCTGAAGATGTCAGAAAACGTTGAAAGAAGACACGATACGACACGACACGACGAGATCCGATGGAAACACCTTGTGGAGACACCGTAACAAGCAAGCTTGTTCCGCGGACCAGTATCCCTAAAAACTCTCAGATGCAATCTGGAATGCCAGTTTCGCCGTATGCTTCAGCACGGGCACCATCATCAGCGCGATGATGAAGCACATCAGGGCCATGTCTTGGGCTGACTCAATCCTGGCGACTCGCAGGTGGGAAAAGTTTGCTGCACTCCCGTGGACTAATATGACGAAGACCAAGTTTGCCCTGCTTGGAAGCTTCTGTTTGCCGTAGGGCGACTGCTGTGGGCTTGTGAAGTCGAACAAAATCGACGGCAGCGGGTCCGTCTGGCAAGCAGCACGCCTGGAGCAGCTAGACGCATCAATCAGCACGCCGCTCTTTTACATAGCGTTGCTTTTTGACACACCGCTGCTTGTCTCCGCAGCAACCGAACAGCTGCAACACACCATCGCATGGATCATGAGAAGCCAAAGAGTGCTTTGCGAAGACATCTGCTTGTCTCTGCCAAGCCGCTGGACCAGGCAACTCTCTACCTTGAGCGACGGACGGCTGAAACCCAGGCATGCTCCAAGTGCTAAGGGAAAGGCCAGATCGCCACTGCTCCGATCTGGCACTTCAGCATGGTAGCATGAGCACGAACACTGGATGCCAAGTTACGGATATCTTGAAGATGTGTGAGATCCGGACCTTTGCAAGACTTCGCTGGGACGCGCAGCATCTCAAAATCATACCGCAAAGTGCAGCCAGAAGGGCTGGATCTGACCGAACCAACAAAGATGCTCCTCGGACCGTCATCGTCGAGTTCTCGAGCACCACATCCTCCCCGAACCTGCGCAGCAAGGAGCGGACGTTTGAGCTCACGGGGGCCCCGCCATCAACTCATCCGAGCTGCCCCTCCAGTCGGAAGGGTTTGTACCCCACAGTGCCTCGGTGCAACCAGTGCCACAAGCTGAGCACTACTCGTAGGGGTTTTCTCGCGCCAGGAGCACAGTACGAAAGCGAAACCCCCCGGAGCGCTGCTCTCGACCATAGGGAGACAAGCTGCTGTAAAAGGCGATCATTCTGGACACTTTCTCCTGGCGGCAGCGCAAAGCAGAAAAGTAAATGGGCTGGTGGCTGCAGGTCAGGACAAACGTAAGTCCAGCCTGGAACAAGTTCGAGCTCACTTGCGAGTTGAGCTGGATGGCCACCGTTTCACTGCAGGGACAGACTACTCACAAAGAGTTCCTCATTGAAGTTCAAGGTTCCCTCATGAACGCCCACGCTTTCAAAGCTGCCTGAATGCGTTCTCAAGCTTTTCCGCCCAGGTCTTCATGGACAGGTCCTCCCATGCACATGTGCTGCACGAAATGCATGACTATATTCTCGCTGCCATTCGCTGCCTGCTGCGGGTACAGTCCGATGGTGAAAAGTGGAAACGTAAATACGAGCACCTGAGCAGCAGCTGAGCGTTCCAGTGCTCCGGCCAATCTGAATCAAGGCAAGTCACGAGGATGAGCATTGACACTGTGGTGGACCTGAGATGTGACGGTGATACTACGCACAACTGCTCACGTTTTGATTCAACCGAAACATCAAAACGTTGGCCAAGCGGCAACGTCAGCATCAATTTTGTCGACAAGACTTTGGCTTCTGCAGGCTTGTCCCCGATAAAAAACCCGTGGCGGTTGGTAATGCGGTAAGACACCTCAGCATGGGCAGACAATACACAGACTGTTGAGACATTGCACGCAGTAGGAAACACCAAGATCGGGAAAAAAAGCAAAGCCAAGCCCAGGGCGTATTTCATGAGTTTCGACAGCCGCCCGATGCGAGCCTTGTGGGCTCGCACATCCCCAATAGTGCCACGCATGAGGAACAAACACGCAGGTCGCCCGATGGAGGCAGGTCGGGGCTCCATCAAAAAAAAACGATAAAAGGTGCCCTGCCAAGCAACTCCGATCTTCGCTGCTCGAGCTGTACCTCTGCATGGCCATATGAAGCTAGAATTCAAAGATGACCAAAGCTGCAAAAAAACTAGGCAAAGCGAGTTCCATGACTCTTGCATGGACTTTGGCCCTGGGACTGCACCTTCTGGTGCGGCACAGTCTCTGTCCCACGACCGCTACTGTTGCTAAAGAACGAATCCATTCCTCCTTCTACTAGTACTGAACTCTTTGCTCTGCACTCGCATGCCGCTCAGTCACGCATCAAGACGGCATCGAAGCCATCTTGTACAGTCTGCATATCTGCCTGCCACGTTCGCTGGAGTCTCGTGCTCCCTTATTCCGACTCCGGAGTCCGAGATTCGAAGGCCTACGTGGGTTTCGGGGAGATGTGAAGAGGAATCCCAGAAACCCAATGGCGTCACCGTTCCACACCGGCCTGATTGCCAAGCAGGAAGGAGATCTCCTGCTCGCAGTCGCACCGGCTAGCACACAGGTTGGGCTCCCGTCCACAACTTTCCTACGTCGGGACGTGTTCTCTGACCTGCTGCCCAAGGCTCAAATGCCATAGAAAGAGTGCCAATGAAGTCCATCACGAAGAAGAAAGACAGAGGGTAGACGTGCATGCCTTTGAACTCTTCCCTAACACTGTTCAACAAAGGCTACGAAGCTGTCCGTCTGCAGATCTGTTGCAGCCAAGCAACGTGCCAGGCAATTCAATGCCATCTCTATACAGAAGACCACTGTCCTGGATTGAAAGGAAAGCTTGCGCGAGTAAAATCTCACTTCTGTCGCCCTCGTCAACTCTCGGAATGCTAGCCGAGAATCGCTAAGGACATCATGAGGTCGAGCATAAACAAGCCGGGTTCGTCGGGCAAATCTGCGAGGGTCGCGAGATCGCCCCCAAAAAGCGCCACGACGACCTTGCACGTTCTTCATCGTGCTCTGCTTGCTGAAACATGACTTCTCCATGACTTCCGGGGGAGCCCGGGGGCCCGGCGAAGAAGACAATGAGGGTTTGGAACCAGAAGCTATCCACAACCGGGCGGAGCGCGTCCGAGATCTTGGCCTCGGCGAAGCACAACGAAGCTGATGTTCAAGATGTCCAAGGCAGTCAAAGTCATCTAAGTCCAAGTGCCATTGCAGGCGAAGAATGTGACGGACTGCCAGGTTGTCCCTTGCCTATCTGCGCCAGCAAACTTCTCCTGCACGTGAGCATTCAGTCGAGCTGGAGCGACACTGCATGAGGGCTTGACCTGCGCCGGCACCTTACAAGCACTAGAAAATTCTGGACCTTCCGAACGATGTGACCGACAACATGCGGTCCTCCTGGTCTTTCGGCCCCCGACAGCCTGCCGAAGCAAACATGCGGCAGGTGGCGAAACCTCGTGCGCCACTCGTCGTTGCCTGCGGAGGCAGGTCTCCCTTGGCGACGACGCCGGCGCCTTGGCCCAGAGCCCCAGAACCCTCCGCCCCTGAGTCGGGATTCATCCTGCTGCGAAGTTTCAATAGTTCTGAAAGCGGGTGGAAGCCAGGCCCTTGAGAAGTTTTAGTTCTAGTTTCTGAGACGCCCCGAGCAAGTTGCATTGTGTCCCTTCATGGTGTCTGTGCAAGGAGGTGCGGAGAAAAAGCCTGCAGCAACTGCAAACTTCTTCAGTCTTTCGCTGGGTCCAAGACTTCCGTCCTCCGAAGACCAAGTCGTGATTCCCTGCACGCAGATGCAGGCAGGCATAGGCAGGCTGAGTGAGGTTGGGGTGTCGCGATTTGAGGCCTTCGACCTGCTCCTCACAGACTCTTGCGGGTGTGTCTCTTCCTCATGGCCAATTACCTGCGGGGCGTTGCTCAAGCCATTCAGGCAATGCGGCGGGCAAGCATGGAGGCTGGCCTCCTGAACAACAGGGCCTTTTTGTGCCAGGATTTGGCTCATCACCCAGCTCAGGGCACCGTCATCCAGATTGAGGCAGGCTTTCAGCACCTGGTGGCATCGCATGTCGCATGATCTCGAGGTGCTTTCTCGCTTGGAGCTCTAAGGTGCGAACGTCTGTTTGACTTCTGGCCTCAGAAGGTATGGATGCCAACTCTCTATGGTCCCCCTTATATCATCTTATATTGTTTATTCTCATAATTGATCTAGAACTGAAACACCGAAGTCATAAAAGAAACGGTGGGCGAGCCTTCCCCCCCCTAGAACCACGCGTTACGACTCATTTTCGGAAGTCATACCAAAATGGGTGGAGTTTTATTTCGGTCCTCTTTTTTTTTGGTCCTTTTTTTTGGCCCTCACGTCCTATTATTTACACACGACGCCGGCTGAATGTGTCGCCCCGCTGTG